TCAAATGTGGTCAAGCAGGTCACTGAGCCTAGTTTTGTCCTAACCCCCCGCAAGCCACAGGAGCCATGTCCAAAATACCACCAAGAGGGAATTTGGGGTGTTGACTGCCACCATTTCTCCCATAATGTGGGGGCATCACACTCAGATTGCCCTCCAGCTGATATCCTAGGCCTGGCTATGGATGACTGAAGGTGCCCAGGTTTCCTTGACCCAACCACTGCCATCACTAGCAGGGAGCCACAGGTAATTATCATGGTATCAGGGGGGCACATCTCCTTCCTTGTGGACACCAGAGCCACTTACTCAGTCCTGACAGAGTACTGGAGACCAACCTCTCCTTCTAGTTCCTCTGTTGTTGGGGTAGGAGGACAGCCTTGCCAGCCTTGCTGAACTGCATGACTCACTTGTATTTTTAGGGGTGTTCCCTTGACTCATTCCTTTTTAGTGATGCCAACCTTTCTAGTCCCGTTACTGGGAAGGTACTTTTTAGCCAAAGTAGGAGCCTCTATCTCCTTTACCCATTCACCTTACCCAAAGCTCATGAGCATCCTCTCTCCTCCTTCTCCTAGCTACCCTACCTACCAGTTGTGACATGTCACTTCCTTTACCAGCCTCTCAAGTGGACCCCGAAGTCTGGGATGTCCAAAACCCCTCTGTCACTAGGCATCATTCTCCTATGGTCATTCAGCTACAGGATCCCACCTGGTATATCATCCAACCTCTTGAGATTCTCAGGGGACTTAAGCCTATTATTGTTGACCTTCTAAGAAAAAAACAAAACAAACAAACAAAAAAAAACTCCTTTATCCCACTTCCTCTCCTTTTATTACCCCTGTACTTGCAGTTACAAAGCCCAGTGGAATCTAGCACCTGGTTCAAGACCTCCAGCTTCTCAGTTCTGAAGTTGTCCTCCTCCACCCTGTTGGAGTTAACCTCTATACTCTCCTCTCCATTTCTCAGCTCTGGATCTCAAGGTTGCTTTTTTCTCTATCCCCCTGGATGCCCAGTCACAAATATCTTTGCCTTTACCTGGACTGACCCTGACACTCTTGTTTCTACTCAGCTTACCTGGACTGTCCTACCCCAGAGATTCTGGGGTAGCCCACACCTGTTTGGCCAAGCCCTAGCCTCTGATCTACTCTCCTTATCTCTCCTTAAATCTAAACTTATACAATATGTAGATGACCTTCTCCTCTGCAGCAGATCCCTACGTGTTAGCCAAACTAACACCTCTGCTCTTCTAAATTTCCTATCCAGCAGAGGCTAGAGGGTCTCACCCTCCAAGGTCCAGTTGTCCACCTCTGAGATCACTTATCTGGAGCTAATAACCTCAACTCACAAGGACATCACCCTAGATAGAAAAGACCTAATACAGTCCCTGGCAGTTCCCTCTACTAAAGAAGAAATTTTGTCATTTTGGGGAATGGCTGGTTTCTTACAATCCTGGGTCCCTTCCTTTTCCCTTCTTGCCCACCCCTTATATGAAGCAGCCTTAGGGCCCTTGCATGAACTCCTTCTTAATTCCATTACTAAGCCTTTTTGGAGGTTCCAACAGGCTCTTCTTGAGGACCCAGCCCTACATCTCCCAGACTTAACCCATTCCCTCTCCCTCTATATAACAGAAAAAGAGAGATATACCCTTGGAGCCTGGGGCACCAATGGGATCCTCCTTTGTACCTATAGCTTACCTACCAAAAAAAAAAAAAAATCCAAGGGTGGCACACTTCAAGGATGGCCCAATCCAAGGATGGGCACCCTTCATTTGTGCCTTAGCAGCTACAGAGTCCCTTATCCCAGAGTCCAAAAAACTAACTTTTGGATCACCTATTAATGTCTTCTCATAATCTGTCTCACCTTTTAATGTATAAAGGTTTACAAATGCTATCTCCCTCCAGAGTTCTTTCTCTCTAGGTGGTGTTAATAGAAGACTCTACTCTTACTTTCCAACCATGCCCACCTCTTAATATTTTAAACCTTCTTCCTCGACCTTACTCTGACTACTCCCCATCTCATTCTTGCACTGAAACTTTAGAAGAATTGTTGCCACACCCCTCACACATACAGGAGGGCACATTGCCCCAGGTATACAGATGGCAGCTCCTTTGTACACGAGGGAGCTCAAAAAGCAGGCTATGCCATAGTGTCAGATACTGAGGTGGTTGTGGCACAAGCCCTCCCCTGCACAGACCACCAATCAACAGGCCAAACTAATAGCTCTTACCTACACCTTCCAATTGGCCCAGGGACTAATCCCTTAATATCTACACAGACTCTAAATATGCCTTTCATATTCTTCTCTCCCATGCTGCCATTTGGAGAGAGCAACAGCAAAGGGAGGATCTTTAACCAATGCAGGCCAAATTATGTCCATGCTAGAAGCCTCCCACCTTCCCATAGCCATCGGAATAGTTCACTGCTGGTCCCACCAGGCAGACACTTCCATCATTTCCAAGGGAAATAACTGGGCTGAAGAGGCAGCTAAGGCTGCAGCCCTTGAAGGCCTAAACTCATCTCATCCACCACAGGGCATCCTTACACTACAACCCACATCTCCCCTGTCATCTCCTGACACTTGTCAGATTCTGTCCTATCTACACCAGCTCTTCATCCTTACAGTCAAGCCTTGTCTAACTTTGTCAAGACCTACCTGCAGCCCATCCCCGAGGACTTGAGTTTCCTAAAGACTATCACTGCCTCTTGGTAAAATCTTCCAGATATCAGATCCTAACCCAAGATATCCTAGCCCCCCTTTCCCTACCCACCAGGCTAGAGGCTCCCTCCCCGCGACTGACTGGCAACTTGATTTTACCCACATGTCAGCAGTCAAATGTGTCCAGTACCTCCTGGTCTTGGTGGACACGTTCTCGGGATGGGTGGAGGCATTCCCCACTATTAACAAAAGAACTCAGACAGTTTCTGGTCTTCTCCATGAGATTATCTCACGTTTTGGAATCCCCACCTCCCTCCAGTCAGACAATGGTCTTGAGTTCACTTCTCAGGTTTCCCAGACCTTATCTAAAGCCCTTAATATTCCTTGGTATTTTCATATCCCATACCATTCCCAGTCTTCAGGAAAGATAGAATGAACTAACTGATCCTTAAAAAATACTCTTGTTAAACTATCACAAGAACTTCACCTCAAATGGGTAAAACTTCTCCCCCTGGCCCTTTTTCAGGCTATGAGCTCTCTCCCCCAAAAAAACCTCTGTCCATCTCACTCTTTGAGCTCATGTATGGAAGACCAGTCCTAACTCCTGGTCGTTCAGCTAAATCCTCGCCTCTCCCTGACCACCTACTTACTCCCTTACTCTGTCATCTCCATTCTCTTTTATGGAACTTTGCTGCCCACTGTTTACCCCAGCCACCCACTAACCTTTGTCTATCTCCTATTAACATTGGGGACCAGGTACTTCTCTCCCCTCCAGACAAAAGCCTTTCATCTCTTTATGCTAAATGGCAGTGATTCTTGTGACCCCGACAACTGCTAAGCTTGAGGGCTTCCCTCACTGGATTCATCTATCTCATGTCAAGTCTTTTATCCCTCCCCCATTCAAGATAATGCCCCCTCCTACATAATAACTCCAACAGGACCCTGCTCCTTCAAGCTCCAGAAGATGCCAAAATCAACTACCTTGCCTCTGGTCCCAGAGAAATGAGGCCTCGCTACAGCAGCTTTTTTCGACCCTACTAGATTGGATATCTATTTTTCCTCCTCTCCCTCTTGCCTGTTTCTGTCCAAGGTAATCCCTACATATGGAGATTTGAGGTTCAAGAAACCATCATTGATAATAAACAGTCTTTCCAAATAGGGTCGGGAAATTGCTTTATGGGAGGCTGTCAGGAGCCAATTGAAATAGCCGTCACCCCAACATCTATCACCCCTCTCTTATTTGATAGAATTTTTGTTTGCTTCCTCTTTGATCAAACAAAAGAGTATTGCAAAAAATGGCCAGAGAGATATGTAGGCTACCCATACTTGTCTTGCCAAATCCATACACTAGCACAGAAGAAGAAGCTCCTTCACCTGTATAAAAAGACTCTCTACTTATACATCCGAGACCCTTGGCATCCCAGATGGGAAACAGGCGTCACTGGAAAACTCTTACCACTGCTATACACCCAGTTTACCAATAAATACCATCCATATCCAGAGAAAATAAGTCCCAATTACCCAATCCCTGGGGATGGGAGAAGTAGAGAAGGTAATTAAACACTCCTCTAAGGTCATTGCCTCTCTGACATTCCCTCTCCTAAATAACACAAACCTGTCATTTTGTCTCCTACTTCAGACACTGACCTCAGCCTACAAGCTCCTTAATGTGACCCAACCGGGCCTTTTTAAAGCTTGATGGCTGTGTGTCCCACCTGGCAAAATACTGCTGACAGCTTCTCTGGTGACTCTGTCAAGTAACCTTACTTCACCATTCACTAACTGCCCTGATTCTAATGTTGTCACAACCCTCTACTTTTTCATATCACCCTCTTTGGTTTGGCATGACAAGCTGTTTCAAGGCATCTGGGACATACTCTGTAGGAATGCTAAGTTCCTTAGACTGTAATAAAACTATAATCCTTGATACCTCATCTCAACCCCAATGCCCTACTCCTAATAATACCTCTATTCTTTGTGGCACTCAGGTCTACCATCATCTGCCTACTGGTTGGTCAGGACTTTGCACGCTGGTGCTCCTCTTTCCCGAGGTGGGGGTAATAAATGAAAAGGAGCCCCTACCAATCCCTGTCGTGGACTCAATAGCTGCCCAGCAGGATACGAGGGCAATTCAAATCTTGCCCCTCTTGGCTGTTGCAGGAATCACGGCAGCTGTTGGGACTGGAGACAGCAGGACTAGCCACCTCACTAACTTCGTATTTTCAGCTTTCTTTCCAGTTCATCCAGGATCTCAGCAAGTAGCTCAGACAATACTAACTCTCCAAGGACAGATTGACTCACTGGCAGCAGTAGTACTTCAAAACCGGCAAGGACTGGATCTCCTCACAGCTAAAGAAAGTGGCCTTTGCATCTTCCTCCAGGAGGAATGCTGTTTTTAATGTCAACCAATCGGGTATAGTAAAAGACAAAATCCAACAACTCCAGACACATCTACAAAAGCACAGGGAACAGCTCAAGGCCTCTAGCTCTTGGGCCTTTGAGAACCCCATGTGGAAATGAATTCTTCCCTTCCTCACACCTCTTCTGCTCATCTTTCTGCTTTTGCCTTTTGCACCCTGCTTTATTAATTTCTTCTTTACATTCTTTCAACAACAAATGCAAAAATTCTCTCCCCAAACCATTAATCAGTTACTCTTACAGGATTATCAGCCTCTACCCACAGAACAGGATGACAATGACCTTCCAGTCAACCCTGATGGTGGGGACCAGCTATACCCCGAGAATGACAATGCTCCTAATCAGCAGGAATTGGCTTGAAGAGCAAAAGTCACCCTTATGCCCTCCCCACCATCACTTCCTTCCTAGATCCTCACTTTTGGGACCGTAAGCAGGCTTCTCTATGGCCAGCCCCAAAGGCCCTGACAAACGGGACATCAGGCATCTGTGAGGCCACCTACAGACCACCTCTGGGCCACCTGAAACCACCTGTGCATGCTCTGGGTCACCTGATAAGAGAACCCGCACCACCTCCTCTCTCTTTTTCTCTCCTACCCTGCCCAGAGACCATCTCTGTGATCCCCTCCCTTTAACAAAACCTCCAATGTGGAACCAAATCATTCAGTGTGATTTATAAACCCTCTGTGTAACTTCCCTGCACAATCCTAACAGTACGCATGTATAAAATATGCAACAAAGACACATTTCAAAACTCTTGGGCTGCAGAAATGTCTCAGCAGTTAAGAGCAATGACTACTCTTCCAGGGACCCAGGTTCAATTACCAGTACACCCATATGGTAACTCACAACTGTCATTCAATTCCCACCAACCCTATGATGGCTTACAACTGTTCATAACTGCAGTTCCAGGGGCTCTATTACTCTTTGGTTCTTTTTGAAATTTATGTTGGCCATATAAGATGGTACACTTAATCCCAGCACTTGAGAGGCAGGGGCAACTGATGTCTGTGAGTTTGAGATCAGCCTGGTCTACATAGGGAGTTCCAGGCCAGGCCTATGTATAGTGAAAACTTGTCTCAAAATAAAATAGCCAGTGATATTCATTGCAGAACATCATAAAATATTGGTATATTGTGTTGTATTTTATTACAGTATATATTTACATGTTCTATAACATTTGTATTTAAAATATTGAGATGTATTCTTCCTGAGGAGTATGAATTTCCACTAGACCTTACATTCAGAGGTACTGATAACCTTCTGCTTTTGCAGCAGCAGTTCTCTACGAATAGACAACGCGAAGAAATGTTACCATGTAAAAATCCTCGGCCACCCTATCTGACAGACTAAGTTAGACAACACCACCACAGAGAAACGGCTACTTACTTACTTACCCTGTATGCATGTGGTACACAGACATCTATGTAGGCAAAACATCTATACACGTAAAAAATTTTAATCTTCCGTGCATTTTTCTTTTATAAATGTTAAATACAGTCACATAGCATATGATAGCCAATATTAGTTCTCATATATTACATGGTCCCATAGATTTTTAATGAGGCTGAAAATTCCTTTCTTCCGGTGACATTGGCCATGGTAATGTCATACTTCAGAACATTACGTACATGTTTGCAGTAATGTCAGGGTAAACAAACCTACTTCAAAGGTATAGCACATACAACTGACACAATGCACAGGACTTGAAAATGATAACTGGCTTACAATACTAAAGCGTTGGCCACCATTTCAGACTGTATGCCTGCTTAGAAAGTTTACTCTAGAATAGTGTGCTGCTTTGTTCTGGGAGCAACCCCATTCATCTCGAGTTTATCAAACCTGTCCCCTCTCCTCTCCAAAAAGGGCTGGCTGTGTAGCCCAGGCCTTCAAGCTTAGAGATCCTCCTGTCTCAGCCTCCTGAGAACAAGATTCATAGATATATACCACTGCCACCACACTCTCTTGATTGCATCTGGAGGCCATATCTAGTAAGTGGTACATACCATCTAGGTTTGTGTGAATATAGTCTCATCTTCACACAATGAAACCTAACAACTGCATACATCTTACTTGAATTTACAGATCTCCATACTCTGGCTCTAGCCCCTCTGTGTTTACTCTTTACTGCCTCCCCTCCTGCCAGCACCCATTCCTGATCATGTCAAGATCCCAAATATATTGCCTAATTAATCCCAGCCACCAATCCTTGGGTAGTCTATGGTTTCTCACTGATGAGTGAGTTTAGTCATACTATGTTACTGTTAAATGCTTATAAATAAATGAATCTTCTTGCCCCACCCCAAATGGTATTTCAGTGAACATACTTCAGTTTTGAGCCTATAGTTTAATTTTGACATTTAGGTTTTCACTTTTCTATTTCAGCATCATCTCCTTAATCAGACCAGAAACAGTTATAAAGTCTTTGATGATATTGTCTGGCTGGTGTCAGTAGCTTCAGGGAAGTTAAATAATAAACTCTTCACTAGAAATATAGCTTCCTCTATGCTATGTTCTGGCATTCATGTGTGAAAATGAATGCAAGCAACTCCCGTGGCTTATGTGGTCTGTAGAAATGTAGCGCTGGGCTGAGGAAATGGCTCTATTGGTAGAGTGCTTGCCTAACATGCATGAAGATCTGTTTAATCCCAGTACAACATAAACCAGGAATGGCAGTTCATCCTGTAATCCAAGCATTCAGGAAGTGGAGGCAGGAAGATCAGAAAGGCAATGTCATCCATAACGGTTTGAGGCCTGCCTAGCATCTGTGAGAAGAGACCCAATCTAAAGAGAGCAAAGCCAGGGGAAAGGAATTCCTCAAAGAGGAAGTCTGTGTCTTGAAGCTTAAGCATATCTTTGCGACACAGCTTGCTGGCCAGTAACTGTGGGAGTAAACTTCGTTTCATTATTTCTGAAAACCAAGACCAGGAACAGGAGTAAGTAAAAACGTTAGTCTTCAACAGCTGCATCGTATGACTGGAGTTTTTCTGGAAAGGTAAATGAAAGACTCTTCTGATCCAGACTAAGTAATTGTTCATCAGAGAACACTTTGTTTATTTAGTGGTTTCTGATGTGTTTTTTCTATTTGGTCAGGGAAAGATCGCATTTGAATGGCTGTGTAGCACAGGTCTCATAGTGACGGGTAATAGTCCTTTATGCCCCATCAAACTGCAAACAGCACTATTTCTGGTGCTTCTGTCAAATGTTTGGATGATTATTTTCTATTGTGATTAAAAAAGAGTGTGTGTGTATGTGTGTATACACAAACAACTTTTCAAGTCAGTTCTCTTCTTCCACATTTACATGAGATCTTAAAAACTCAGGTTTCCAGAGCTGTGGGGTATGTGCCTGTCCCGGCTGAGCCATCTCACTGCCCTTATTTTGATTGAGTTTTTTTGTTTTGCTTTTGTTTTGTTTTGTTTTGTTTTGTTCTAGGGTCTCACTATGTAGCCCTGGCTGGCCTAGAACTCAGCCTGTCCTTGAACTTAAAGGGATCTGCCTGCCTCTGCCAAATGCTGGGATTAAAAAAAGATGTTAGCTCACAGTACCATACTCCTTTTGGATTTTTGAAACAGAGCCTATGTAATCCTGGCTAGCCTTGACCTCATGGCAATTCTCCTGCCTCAGCCTCTCAAGTGAGTGCCACCACACCAGGCCCAATTGTCTTTGAAGGTAAATATGTTTGTTGAGTTTTGTCACCTAAATTTGTAAGTAGCCATTTCTCTGTGGTGGTGTTGTCTAACTTAGTCTGTCAGGTAGGGTAGCCGAGGATTTTTACTGGTAACATTTCTTCGCGTTGTCTATTCGTAGAGAACTGCTGCTGCAAAAGCAGAAGGTTATCAGTACCTCTGAATGTAAGGTCTAGTGGAAATTCATACTCCTCAGGAAGAATGCATCTCAATATTTTAAATACATATGTTATAGAACATGTAAATATATACTGTAATAAAATGCAACACAATATGCCAATATTTTATGATGTTCTGCAATGAATATCACTGGCTATTTTATTTTGAGACAAGTTTTCACTATACATAGGCCTGGCCTGGAACTCCTTATGTAGACCAGGCTAATCTCAAACTCACAGACATCAGTTGCCCCTGCCTCTCAAGTGCTGGGATTAAAAGTGTGTACCACCTCATATGGCCAACATAAATTTCAAAAAGAACCAAAGAGTAATAGAAAAATCTTTACCCCTGATGACTCTGCATGGACCATGATTGTCCTGTTCTCCATAGTTCAGACTTCCCATCTAATTTTCTTGTCAGCACTTTCCTTTTGTTCTGACCATGGCAGCTATGAAATTATTTACTGAATGGTGGGGTGAATTATAACATTGCCTTGCTACCCTTTTAATGACACTTAGGAACAGGAATTTTTCTTAAAGTCTTCCCCTATATCTATGGATTGGGAGATTCATTTAAAAAGACCAATTAAAACTTGTGAGCCATTAATGGCATTTTCTGTCTAAGCAAATCATCTTAAGATTCAGCAGAAATTGTAGAGCCCCATTTTTTATCATAAGTTTGGCTAAATATGAATTAAAATTGTGGCCACCAAAAAAGTAACCAGGGTTGTAACTGAAATTTTATACATAAAAGTACCTGTTTCATTGCTAGTTGTCAAACATGTTGGAAACCATTTGTAGAATTGTAGAAGCAAGGAAGTGGTTAAGAAAGCCCGGTCCCATCTGTACTGGGAAGCATGCTTTCACATGGGTTTGCTTGCCAGTTTCAGTTCTTTCTGCTCAACTATTATTTGAAAAAACAAAACAAAAAAACAAAAACAAAAACAAAACAAAACAAACAAACAAACAAAAAAAAAAAACGCAGGAGAACTTCCAGAAATAAACACTTACTTTTTTAATATCTTTTATCATGGTATTACTACTGTGGTTGCTCTATTTTAGTTTTTTAACCAGAATCTTTCTGTGATACTTTATGAAGTAAACTTTACAGGTATGCCATGTATGAGAAAAGGCGTGATCTATACTGTGAAGAGTTCGGGGCTGTCATGGGCCTTTGACACCTGCACAATATCATACAGAGTATCTCCTACTAACTGGACAGGGGGGTTACTGTTAGGAAAGGCCTATCACCACTAAAAATATTCTACAAGGGTTTTAGAAGTGTGTAAGAATGAACATAAAATGCTGGGCAGAAAAGAGATATGAAGCTGTCTGGGATGTGGTGTTTCAAGCAAAAGGAATCCATGCAGCTAGGAATGTGCCTAGGAGTCCATTACTTTCCTGCCTTTAGGTGCTTTATAGTTTCTGTGTTTTTCCTGGATGTAATGCTGTGTACCGCATGCTTGTCTGGTGCCCAAAGAGAGCAGAAGAGGGTGTCTCGCCCTTGGAATTGGAGTTAACAGATGGTTGTGAGCTGTCATGTGAGTGCTGGGAATCATGCCTGGGTCCTCTGAAAGAGCAACAAACGCTTTCAACCGCTGAGACATCTCTCCAGCCTCATCTTTGCATTGATTTAAATAATACCTCAAGACTGTTCAGTGACATGCATACATGTCTGAAAAGCCAGCATCTATCATAAAGAGTCACCACATGTCATTCTGTGTTGCAATGGAGGAGTCACCAGGTGCACCAAAGTACTGGGTTGGTGGCCTCCAAGTACTGGATTTTTGCTTTGTATTTTTGGTTAATTGAGAGAGAGAGAGACTGAAAGATTGGAAGACTGAGATGGAGAGACTGGATCTTATATAACCTAACAGCTAGTAGTTTCCTTGGTTTTGTTCTTATTTTTTCTTATTTATGTGCATGAGTGTTTGCCTGCCCATATGTATATAGGCAGGCAGAACTGGTGCAGGCCAGAAGATGGTGTCAGATCCCCTGGAACTGGAGTTATCAATAGCTGTGGGCCACCACGTAGGTACTGGGAGCTGAACCCTGGTCGTCTAGAAGAGCACCAAGTGTTCTTAACCACTGATTCATAATCTCTCCAGCCCCTTGCTTTTGTTTGTTTTGTTTTGTTTGTGACAGAGTCTCATATTACCTGGGCTAACTTGGAATATACTTCGTAGTCAAAGTTGACCAACTCCTGATCCTTCTTCTCCTACCTTGCCGGTGCTGGGATTAGACATATGTGTCCACACCCAGCTGCTGATTATCTCTAAAGGCATTGTGTAATGCTAGGCTGAAGGGTTCAGATGAAACTTCTCTGGTCATTGAACATGTCTAAAGCACCAAGAACACACCTCTGCACCTCCAGGGTGGGGTTAGCCCATTCTAAACTCCCCCCCACCCCCGAGTAGGTGAGCTGCCATGCCCAGCCTCCAGACCAAGCTAAAAAGTACCTGTTTTATTCTCAGGAGAAGACAGCATGGGATCTACTTCCTCCACACCTAAACCCAGAATCAGTGAGTTCAAAAATCACTTCCCTTGATGCTTACTGTGAACTAGTGGTAAAAGAAATAGTTGTGTTGAAAGCCCCATGGGGGACAGTGTTGGCTAGAGCATTTCTAGAGCTAGACCAATTCAAGTTTACCATAATGCAAGAGTCAGTACCCAAGGAATAGAAAAAGGAGTCAGAAAGACCTGACTGGCCCTCCGAACTGAGAAGATCAGCTGATAGTTTATAAAAATCCAGTTCATGTTTCTTCTTGTTCCCCTCCCTGTGGATTAGGCACTGGAAAATGCACATGTACACACACACACACACACACACACACACACACAGGGGCAATCATGGGCAATCACGAGCAGTCACAAGATACTAGGGAAGTACCTGAGATCAGAAGAACCATATCTTCATATCTTCCCAGGGCTTCCCACAAAACCTCTGCTTCTTTAATTTGCATGCCGTTTCAAATACAGCGCTACTTCTCATTTTAAAGGTCCCAGTCAGATGGGTGTATCTCAGTGATAGAGGGTTTGCCACGGTATACAAAAGGTCCTAGGTTCACTTGCCCAGCACTGGCAAAAAGACTCACTTCATTGTTCTCCCTTTGGCAGAATTGTAGCCAACTTGCAAGTCCCCACACATAGTAGTCATGCGTGGAGTCTTATCCTGGAGGGATGGGAGGAAAAGGTCAGAGACACTGAACCCCCCCTCCACCGCCCCCAAACTGATAACTTCCATGTTCTCTGCAGGCACAATTTCTACGGCAGCCCCAGTGCCCAGCCCTGCACCCAGTTTCTACAAGTAAAGGAACACATTTTATCCAGGCCATGTGGTATTGGGGTTTTTGTTGACCATTTTGTCTTGGGGCTTTAGAAAAGGCAATTTGAGTGGCAGAAGAGACCAGGAACAGTGAAAGAACTCAGGGTTTGGTCTTAGGGTATATTCTGTTCTGTTCTGTTTGCAGGGCAGGTTGTGGGGCTTGAGCATAGGCCAGGCTTGGCTTCCAACTTGCCACAATCTTCCTGCCTCAGTTTCCCAAGTGCTGGGTTACAGGTGTATGAAATCAGCATTGCTCAAGATTTGAGAGATCCTGAATCCCTCCTTACACGGAGTTCAGGTGTGGAATGTTGGGGACAGGACTGGGAGAAAGTCTCAAATGCCTCTGGAACCCAAAAGCAAAATGTCTCTTCCCAAGCGGTGGGCGGGAGCAGGTCCATCAGACCAGGGGACAGCCTAAGTAAGAATCGAATCACATGGCTTTCCAGAAGGCCCCCTGCCAGTATCTCATCTACTCCCATTCTTTGCCAAAACAGAAAGGAGTATTTAATCTTGGCCTTTTTTGCTGGGGCTCTGCTGACACTGCTGCTTGTGGCCCTTGTCTTCATCATCATCAAGAGCTACAGAAAATGTGAGTGGCCTGTTAAACAAGGCTTCTCTTGCTGTCGCTGAGAACAACATGAGTAATGAGTACTGGGGAAGTGGAGAGAGGCCTGCTCAGTCCGCCCTCTTCACAGATCCACCTCAAGGCCCTTCCCTGCTCTTCCTTGCTGTCCTACACCCACATACCTTTACCCACTAACCTTCACCCAAAACTGAGGGAGAGGCTCCCCACTCCTCCAGGACCCCTGGTGACAGACAACCCTCTTCTTTCAGGTTACTCAAGAGCCCAGGCCCAGGACCCTCACTCAGAGCCTCCTGCCAAGGTAGGAGGGGAACTGACTGTGATGAAATGGCATACCAAATTATTTGAAGGGAGTTGGTTTATTTTGTGTCCTCTACATCCTGGATTGCTGACTGAAATGTTGGTGTCACTTTCTGAGTTCTGGGCAAGTGGCTTATTTGCTCCTTGCATCCCCACTCAGGGAAAATTTCAGATTGCTTTTAAAGAGACACTGTTCACTACAAATGAGATTCACTATTTCTCCTCTTTCTCCTTAATAGCTTTCATCTGTATCAAAGGAGTCACTTACCTATGCCATCATGACTTTCAAGCCCTCAGAAGAAAACAGCAATGACTTGACCAGAAACCACTCCACAGGCCTGGACTCCATTGTCTATTCTCAGATTAAGGTGGCAGACCCGTCCCTGCCTCTCCAGTGACAATGCAGGACTTCAGCTCAGCTCCATATTGCTTTATGGTTTTGTTTCAGATGTTTGTCTTTGTTGTTTTCTACGAACTTAGGACCACAGCCTTGTAAAACTGCAGTTGGAGTGGTTTGGGCTTGATGTAGCGGTCATTAGTCACAAGGACCAATGGTTACTTAGTTTTCCCCACCAGAGAAAAGGCTGCTGGTGCTCTCAGCAGTGGCGGCCCCCTGAGGGACTCCTCTGAACCTTTCCAAAGCGGGACAGCACTCGCTAATAAAGCAACTCGCTGATGATAACCAGGGAGGAACCAACCTAATGAACAGTCAAGGGTTTTCAAGTAATGGCAGCTCCTCATGCAGAGTCAGCCCTTCTTCACCAGTTAGCACTCTGTCCCGTCATCTTCTCCAGAAGTAAAGACCAGAATCCTAAGTCAACACAGACTACTCCATATTGTACAAAGCGCTGCTAAAATGTGGGTCTCTCTCTCCTTTGTATGGCTTTAGAGATGTGTGTGTGTGTGTGTGACAACCTTGGCTGAGAGCCAAAGGTAGAGATTAAACATGTTTCTTTATCCCCAAAACAAAGGGACAATCATATAATCATATAAACTGCCCATTAAAAAATCAATAAGATATTTAAGTAGGTAAGTTCACTCTAAAATGCAAGTGCTAAACAAGAAGAGAAATTTATAAAATTAATGTGAGGGGTAGTGAGGTAAATAAGGACGTTTGCTACCAAACCTGACTACCTGGAGTTTGATCCCTAGGACTCACATGCTGGACATGTATGTATGTACATGTGTACATACATACTATACACATACACACACACACACACACACACACACAAGCACATAGCTATTGTGATAGCATTCTTAAGACCTGTGCAAGCCTAACCGTGAGTTGGGCACACAATCCCCTAAAAAGCTATTGGCAATTGTTTGCTGCTAGGAAGCAAACAGTTTTTTTCTAAGAGACTAATCCCTGGTAAATTAACCATGTATAAATACAATCCATGGCCACTGGGCAAGACTGGGACTAGTCAATAGCAGAGGGAGAGCTTTTTAATTTTTTAAATTTGGTTTTGAGACTCAAAAAAGGAGAAAGGCTTCAAGGAAGCATTGCAGGTATGATATCCAGACCCTGGACCTTTTTTCTCCGGCTGCTGGGGGTCTTGGAGTCCCCTCCCTATAGAAAGGAGTTAAGGCAAAGGCTGAACTATGCTGATCCAAGAGTCTGAAAGAGCCCTGATCTAACCTGATAAGATACATACAGAATCCAGTCAACACCCAATCTTCACCCAGCCCTGTTTAGACCGGGGGACCACTTAAGGATTCTGTTCTGAGGCTGAGGCTGGACCTACATCCCCTTAGAAGGGACCATGGAATATCAAACTGTGGGCTTCTGGGACTAGGGAAATGCCTCCATCCGTGAAGGGCTTGCCTTGCAGAAACAAGAACCTGGCTTTGATCCCCAGGACCCATGGAAAAATGTGGGGCATGGTGGGGCATGCTTGTAATCACCATGCTGGAGAGGTGGAGACAGGAGGACCCCTGGTCTCGTTATTCAGCTAGCCAAGGAGGGGCATCTCCCGAGGAGTGACATCTGAGGTTATCCTCCAGCCTCCCCATGTACACACATGAACGTGCACTTCTGCCACAGAATAGCAGCGAAGGCAGTGGTGAAACAGGAAGGACACCATGTGGGGGAGGGTTGCAGGTTGCAGGGAAGCACATGGGGAAGTGGGAATCCTGCGCCAATGACGATAAAACCCTGTTTGCTCCCACAGATGATGGTGCCTCATTCTTGTGTTTCCTGATTTGAAAACACTGGTCACTGGTCACTTGCTTGCTCACTGGTCAGAAGCAGCACCCGCTCACTCTGGTGGCAGTTTCCCATTGAGGATGTGCTTTGGGGTCCACAGTCTTTTCACTGAGAGAATATGAGAACCACAGACTCAATCTGTCTCCTGTTTTTGGATAAAACAGCATTTAATACTAATTCAGAAATGCATTGGCATATTATGCTTTTTAGGAACATGTCAACCAAAACTTTTCCTGTGATGACAACCCAGGAGAAGTCAGTCATACCTGGGGGCTCTTTCAACAGTATTCAGATATTTATTGGCTGAAAAATAAAATACAAGTCTTTTCCCCTTGCCCCAGATTTTGTATCTCTTCTTCACTAATCTAATTTAAAGTATGAGAGTTAAGGTCTGGAGATAATGTTCGATGGCAGCTTTGATTGCCATGGTCTATCAAAGCTCTTCTAAGCACCGCTGTGGTCACCTTGCCACAAAAGATTGCTGAAGGTCAGGTGGCCTTTTAGAGATCTTGAAAGGTCAGAATCAGTCTCTGAGATGCAGGCCAGTTGTCATGGAGATCCTGTCGTAATGCTATCACTTGATTTAGGAGCTAAATGAAAGAAATCTTCAGTCACACGTGTTCAGTCCGAGCCATTTCCTTGAGTCAGAACATGTGGATAGAACTTCGACTCATTGCCTACTTTGTTGGGAAATAGAAAAGAAAAACTGAGTTGGAGGCTCTTGCCCAAGTGTTTGTCACCAAAAAGCTGCACACTTCATTTTTCTGAGCCTATTTTCCTCTCTTCTAAATTGAAGATTACATTCCCATATTCCCCAGGAATTCTTTCAAACAAAGCTAAGCATCCCCAACCTCCACAGATCCCAAAGCTTCTAGATGGTAAAAGCCAAGGAATGCTGTAGGAGCAACTCCTAGCACTCCTAAGCTTCCTGGAAATAAAACATCCAAGTTTGGGTTGCTTTTTTAAAATTCTCTGTCTGTCTGTCTGTCTGTCAGTCTGTCTGTGTGTCTGTGTGTGGGTGGTGGAGGACACGAGTGCTATGACGTGTGTACCACAGCAGACATGTGGAAGAAGTCAGAGGACAACTTGCAGAAATTGGTTCTCTCTGACTTTGGAGCCCAGGGCATTAAACTCAGGTCATCAGGATTGGTGGCAAGCACCTCTACCTATTGAACCATCTTACTGCCCTTGAAAACACCAACATTTGTTTTCAGGGCTGGAGTTTGATGCCATCCGTGCAAGATTTGCCAGTCAGCTGTAGGAAAGCTTGGTACCTGGAGCTTGCGCTTCTCTCACTGAATTTTGGTGGTATAAATGCGTCTGAGCTTCAGGGCCCAAGGATAGTAAAACAAGAAGGAACTTTAGTTGAGGCTGCTAAGTTTGCCCAAGTATGAGGAAACAGGCCATGGCTAACACAGATTGCTGGCTCCTTGCTAGAGAACCACATTAGATTCTATCGTCTCCTAGTCTATAGCATCACATCACCTTCACATATTCTACTTGACAGACTTACATCTGTGTTTATGTGTGGTTGCTTACATTCCTCCACCACACCATAACACACGAATCTCACTCTGTACTCTAGGTAGGTCCAGAACTCACTGTGTTGTCCAAGCTGGCCTCGAACTTGAGATCCTTCTGCCTGGCTTCTGGGTGTACTACAGCTGCCCAACTATTTTTCTATTTTACATCATAAGCGCCACAAAGACAGACGCTATCTATGTTGCTTGTCCTCGTAATCTCAGGACCTAGCATGTTCCTAGTTTGCAAAACGAAGGATGCATGGACTAATGGATGGATAGAAAACTCAGTGGAGGATAGGAACAGGGCATTCAACAAAGAGAGAGACTGGCTTGGGAAAGAAAAATGTGCCCAGGTTCATATCTTAAAGAAGCAATAATCAGTTTCCGAAAGAAATATTAACTGCAGTTGTATCCTAGAGAGAGTAGAACTAAAGAAGCCCTCAGGGGTGCTGCCCTGTGCCTATCCCTTACCTCCACTGCTCCCAACGCTTTTAAATGGCAAAAAGGCAAGAACGCTGTGAGAGCCACTCCTTTACCCTCTTAGAAAGCTTACTCTGCGTCTGTATGAGACCCAAGCCTCACAGGAGCAGCCTGGGCTCTTGTAGCTTGCCTGTTTGTTTGTTTTTTGTTCGTTTGTTGGAGACAGGGTTTCTCTGTGTTGCCTTGGCCATCCTGGACTCGCTTGGTAGACCAGGTTGGACTTGAACTCCCAGAGATCTGTCTGCCTCTGCTGCTCCGAGTGCTGGGATTACAGGCATGCGCCACCACGCCCAACTTGAGGCCTTATCTTAAAATCTCTGGTCCTCCTGGCACTGGCCCCTCGTGGGTCACTAACAGGTGCTTCATTGTTTGGATGCTATGAGATTTGGTGGCTGGTGATGGGTTTCTGTTTGTTTGTTTTATCTTAAGCATTGTTTCTCCAAAATGTTGTTTTTCTGTCTTTCCAAACCCAGAGTGACTGGAATCTGTTTTTGTAATTATGCCTACAGTCTCTTCATTGTCCAAGCTGTTTTTATGGTTATCATAAAAAGGCAAAAGCAAACAAGCATGGCCTTGGCTAAGCAGAGGTGCTCTTGTGTTCTTTCGGTTCAGCAAAGGCTTCAGGACTCAGCAGAATCACCACATGGTGACCGAGAGAATTTTCCAAATGGTAGGAGCTGCCTGCATCCCAGGCAGAGAGCTAAAGACAGTGTTCTGAGTGGGTTGAGAACTCAGGACTGTAGAATTAAGGAGCGAACTTACCAACGGTATGGAGACCACAGACGGAGCTTGGCTTGCTTGGGAATTTCTAGTCATGCTTTTGCCAGTAACTATCCAAAAGAAAACAGAGATGCAAAACTAAGGGCTGAGGTCCCTGGGCCTACTAGGGACCTCCCAGACCTCTCGCAAGGAGACCTTTCTACAGCTGCTGGCCCAGCTGGGGGTGGTTACAGAAGCTCCAATGTTTGACAAGAGCCTTGGCCCTCTCCTTTACAGGGAAACAAAATGTTTCAAATGGGCAGTAAGGCTGTTAGTTTATTACCCAAACCTTGTGTGCTGGGGAGACAAGTGGCCCTAAAGATAAGGAACCTATGTTCCTTGGCTTCCCTCTTTTCTATCTGCACCTACTTCCACTTAAGACTACAGTGATCCTTCCATCACCGCCTTTGTCACTATGGGGGGCGGGTGTCCACTCCTCAGCCTGTGGGCTACCTAGCTGCCTAAGTGACTAGGCAAGAAGAAGAGGGTCACATTCATTCGTGTGAAAGATACTCCTTGACCCTACACTTTCTAATTCCTGTCAGACCCCTCCCCCTCCCCTGACTCCAGGCTACTTACCTCCCCTATTCCTTTGGCTTCTCCTTCCCCTGGACAAATGACTGATTATAAAGATGATCCCCAAACCAGTAATCAGTATGCAGATGATCAGAATGGATATTCTAGAAGAAACCACATCAGATATCAGGTCTCTTGGAAAACTCCTGTTGGTTTTCTTCTCACACCACTCGCATTCTAGCCCCAGTATCTCCTGATGACTACCTTCTGTAAGAGTGACTATTCTTTGGAACACATTCCTTGGATCTGATGGGCCTTTAACCAAGCTAGGACAGTGAGCCCTCCTCCTCAGAAATTAAATGGAGACTAGGAGTGGAAAACTACAGTCTTCTGCCATTCCTTTGGCTCAGGGAGAAACAAACTGAGGAACTATAAATGGATGTCGCTGCTGTGACAAAAAGAAAAAGATGGAGAGGAAGAGAGAGGGAGGAAGGGAGAGGGAGAGGAAATGACATAGAGAAGAAATGCAAGCTGAGGATATAGCTAGGGTGCTTATGGACTGGGTGTGGTAACACATCTATAATCCCATTGCTCAGGAGAGGAAGCAGGGGGATCAGGCGTGTAAGGTCAACCCTCAGCTATATAGGATCAAAACCCTCAGCTACAAACTTTTTCAGATCCTGTCTCAAGATAGCTCTCAAAACATGAGAGCATTTGCTGCTCTTACAGAGGATCTGGGTTCAGTTTCCAACACCCACATGGCAACTCACAGTTTCAGTTCCAGAGGATCAGACTGTGTTTTCTTGACTCCCCAGGCACCAGCCACAAATGTGATACAAACATGCGCATGTGCGCGCACACGTACACATTCATACACATAAAATAAAAAGAAATAAAACTTTTAAAAGAACAAAGTAGAACTGGGGAAGAGTAACATAGAAAGATAAGGGGAGCAAATACACATGAAAGTAGCAGATGAAAATAGAGCCAGAAACAGCGACAAAGTCCTGATGAGATTCCAGTGAGTTCTTGGTGCCTGCATCCCTGTGCTGTGTTTCAGACACTTGTCTACCCTTAGCACGATGCCCCTTTTAAATTAACTAGAGGCTGTTTTCCGCTACTTTCAAACACAAATAGTCTTTTTTAAAGAAACAAAACCATTACAAGGAAGATATTGATTTAGGCAGAGAAACAATACACAGCTGAAAAGTAGAAAGTGTAATTGGGTCCTCTGCACCCAGAGGAAGGGACACCTTTTCCAGATTTGCACAAAGACTAGAAGCAGTTTGCGGTTAGAATCCCAGGCTAGGGTCATTCCTGAGGAAACAAAGTCTTGCTGTACCAGGTGCCAGTCCCATCTTTAGGAAGTGTGCATTGTTTTCTGGTTCACCCCACCGCACCCCACCGCACCCCACCCCACTCACCCCACCCACCCCACCCCACCCCATCCACCCCACCCCACCAGGCACCTCCTCAGCTTCCAACTCACCTGGAGCCCTCTGCTTTTTGGACAGCTTTGGAAGCCCTACAGCTCCGGTTCCTGTTGCCTGAAGGGTCTGAATCAGAAAGGAACTGTTGAGAATAAAGCCCATTCCAGGGCCCCTCTTTTGGTTCCAGTTGCATCCCACCTGTCTTTCCTTTACTTTCCAGAGAGTCAATGCTCTGTTGGCTTTTTGTGTAAAACAGTGATGAGCACTAACTGCTGTATAAACATGCCTTGGACAGGGACAAGGCTAGGGAAAGAAGAAGGGGTTGAAATCCAGTCCACAGTTCACTTACTAAGCCATGCAACCTGCTACTGGGTCCTCTGCACCTTTTCCATATTTTCACAAAGACTAGAAACAGTTTGTGGTTAGAATCCCAGGCTAGGAACATTCCCGAGGGAAAAGCGTTGATGTACTAGATGCCAAGCCCATCTTTAAGAAGTGGATCAATCAGTGACATAGCTCCTTCTGATAGCTGCTAACAACCCATGGGGAACACCCACATTGCCTCCTCTGTGTTTTTTTAAAGGAGCTGATCTGAATAAGACTCCACTCCTCCTGAGCTTAAAACTGAAGAAATGCTATAAAAGGCAGAAGTACACAAAACACAAACACAGACAGTGTGGATGCCACCCACTCAGTGGAATGCTTGCTGAATCAGTTATTAGTAGGTTAAATGTGAGCAACTCTACCCAGAACTGGAGAGGTGGGGTGGGTGTGAGGCTTCTCACGTGTTCTTCCAGTGTGTTTTCCTGCTGTCACTGGGCTCCAGACAGTGACAGAAAAACACGTAGCTTCTTTAAATGGGAACAATGGGAGAATAGGTAGTGTCTTCCACAGCAATCTGGCTGAAAAAACCAGGCTTACAGGTGCTGAAGAGTTCTCCAGCCTCCAGAGAAAGCGCTGGAGATCCCAAGAATTAACTTTAGCTGAAAGACACAGTTACTTGGCTTACAAAGACTTTGCCCTCTGCTTCCAGCACAGTAGCCTCCAAGGGTTAACTACTTTCCACTTGAGTGAAACTGGGTGCTGGCAAATTGACCATAATATATAATTATATTAATTATTGAATTCTTTTTTTTTCTGTATTTTTTGTTTTGTTTTGTTTTTTGAAACAGGGTTTCTCTGTGTATCTCTAACTATCTTGGAACTCACACTGTAGACCAGCCTGGCCCTGAACTCAGAGATCCAGCCTGCCTCTGCCCCCGAAGCACTGGGATTAAAGGTGTGCACCATCACCATCCAGCTAATTAAAAATTATTAAATATTTATTAATTATTAAATTATTAAATATTTTTTATTATTATTAATTAAATTCATGAAATTAATTATTGATTATTAAATTATTAAAGCTTCCAGGTTTCAAGAAACCTGGGTCTGTTTTCGCAGCCCCAGGCACTTCTTAAGAAGTCAGTCTTCAAGGTTCTAGACCAAAAGGATGAGCTTTCAAAGCCTTGGCTATCGGCATAAAGATCTCACTACTAAGCCACCTTCCAGCCTCTTCTGAGGTCTTTGAGGTGGGCTTCCACGAGGAAAGAGAAGTAACAAGCATGCCCACGACTACCACACTCTTCTTTCCTACAGAATCCTACCTGAACCCCAGCCCCATCATACCTAGGAGGCTACCTCCAAAAATGCAAGAGAAGCTAAGTTGCTGGCCACAACCTTCAGGTGAGGTGTTTGTTTTCTACTTTGTCTGGTTTTGGTTTTCATTTTGGTTTGAGACAGGATCTTACTTCATAGCCCTGGCTGTCTTGGAACTCACTATGTAGACCAGGCTGGCTTCCAACTCCCAGAGATCCACCTGCCTCTGCCTTCTGAGTGTTGGGATTAAGGAGGTGCACCGCCAGAGCTGGACTCTTCGGTGAGTTTTTAACCACCTCAGTAAACACCCATTACTGTTCAAAGGTCCCTTGCCATTCTCTTTACCAGTTGAGAGACCACTGTCCCGGCCTTCTCGGTTGTCGCTCACAATCAGCTGTGTGAAATCCATGTCATCTCTGGCAAAGTCCCTCTGGATGCCGCACCAGTACCAGCCTGTGTCCTTCTTGACCAAGCAGGATACAGTGATGATGAGTTGGCTTCCTGTGTCCTTCAGGGCCACACGGCTAGTGCTGTTAGGGGTGAAGGCGACAATGTTGCACGCGTCCCTGAAATAGCCCCGGCACCAGTACTTGGTGTGGTCCTTGTAGTGGGCATCGTAGTTACAGGTAACAGAAGCTGTGTCGAGCTCAACACCTGACTTCACCTTTTCGTCCATGACCATGGCCTCTGTGAACACACAAACACACACACACACATACACACACTGTTCATTATTCTTAGAAATACCATGAATCCCCTGGCCCTAGAGGATAGTAATTAGAATGTGGGTTTTGTCCATTTGGATTTGGTGACTATTGTGGACCGAATTGTATGTGTCTTTCACGTGTTGAAACACTAATCCCTATACAGAATATGGTGTGACTTCCTTGGGGCACAGGACCTTTAAGAAGCAGTTACGCTAAAATTAGAGAATTAGGACAGCTTTGTTATACTTTATGTGTGTAAGTGTTTTTTCCCCTGCATGTATATAAGTGCAACACAGATATGCCTGGTACCCAGAGAGCAAAATAGGATCTGGAACTGAAGTTACAGATGGTTGTAAGCTACAGAACCATCTCTCCAGCTGCCAATATGGCCGGTGTCCTTATTTAAATTTTTAAAAACAGATGAAGTTAAGCAAAAAAAAAAAAAAAAAAAAAAATGTGAAAACACAAGAAGGCAGCCATCTGTAAGCCAGAAAGAGTCTCCAGAATGATACCATCTCTGAGAAACCTTTATTTGGGGATTTGTGATAGCTGATGTCAGTCTGATTGGATTTAGAGATGTCTAGATTAATCAAGCATATCTCTGGATATTTCTATGTGAGTTTTTCTAGAGAAAATTTAACTGAGGGAAAAAGACCTCCCTCAAATGTAGGCAGTCCTAATTCATGTACTTAGACCCCAGCAACCCTTGGAGAAAAATATTTTCTCCTAGCCAGAGTGTGTGAAATGCGGACATAAGGAGAATTTGAAGTTTGCTTTGCCATCTAGACCCTTAGCCCCGACCTAGCTCCCTATTTTATCTTAGCAGTCACTAAAAGGAAGTAAAAGGGTAAGGAAGCTGCAGAGGACTGAAAATAAAGGGACTAGTGATTTTAGGAGCTGAAAACTTGTCATAAAAGACCAGTGTAGGCATAGGCATCTTTTTTGTCTGTTTCTGTTTTATTCAAGACAGGATCTCTCTATGTGGGCCAGTCCTGGAACTTGCTCTGTAGATCAGGCTGGCCTCCTGAGTGCTGGGATTAAAGGCATGTACCACCACTGCCAGCTGCAGTGTAGCCATCTTTATCACGTCAGGATATTGCATAATAAGGAAGTCACGCATGCAACACCCAGCTTCACCATGGCTGGGACAATATCTGATCAAAGAGGAGAGATGAGACAACAGAGCCCATCACTCTCAGTCTTCCAAGTATATGTCGGGGGGAGCGCCTCACCCCCAAGAGGCTGCTTCCAGGGTTCCTTAGGGGAGGTATCACGTTCCTCCATTCATGTCCTAAGTGTCCGTTTCTTCTCATCACTACCAGACAAGAACATCTCGTGATCCTCATAGACGAGGATGCTGACCCTCAGAAAGCTTCCGTAAGTCTAAGGGGAGCACACTGAGAGATGACAGCACTTGGGGCAAGTCCAGTTTCTGAGTACCATCTTTGGTGTCAGGTTTAGGCAGAAAGGAGATAAGCATGTCTGACTATATCTGTGCAATCATGTGAGGGGAAAAAAAGGAGAGGAGGAAGAGAATTGGAAAGACTGAAAGAAAAAAAAACTGCAGAGCCCTAATTTTAGCAATAGGTTTCAAGTTCCCCACAACTCCCTTATCAGAGGTAAGAACCTAGGACCTTTCAATAAGACCTATTAACATAGTGTAGTTTCACCTCTTCTTATTCTCCCGTCCAACCCTTTAGGTGCTTTAAACTGGTGCATGCACCAAGCAGCAGCTTTAAGTAGAGAGGAGAATGGAGAAGGAGAAGCCTTAGAAGACTGTGGCTTGGAAGAGGTCTTCCTTACCAATGTCTTACCTGAAAAGAGTGCGAAGGAGAGCAAAATGAAGAGTTCCATGGTGAGAAGGAAGTGAACCCCTCAGCTGGAATAATAAGAAGGGAGGATATCGCAGGACCCCTGGATCTGTTGAAGGGAAATGCATATTTGAATTTAAGGTGGGTTTATCCTACGTAAGGAGAAAAGCCCCAGTTATATTGAATGACACCGCTGTGCAGAGGAATCCAGGGTTGTGTCCTGTGCAAGGGGCACTCATCAGAGGGGCGTCATTCACGAATGAAATGTTACCTTTGCAGCAACTGTGAGAATCTGAGCTGGAAGCAGAGCCCAAAGCAGCAAGCAAAACCCCTCCTTGATTAAATCTGCTTGGCGTACACACCTCATAGGTGCACGCAAGCCACCGCTGGCATATGCTCGTGTGAGCAACTGTGCCCTTTCTCTCTTGCCAAGAGGCTGTGCCTCTTGTCTGCCACCCGTCATTCTCGGAGGCACGGTTCCTATTTAGATAGGAGGAATTCCAGCAAAGAAATCCTTAAGTAACTTGAGTCCTAGACTGCAGGGAAGACCCAGGGAGTGTGGTTCAAGGTGGAGCATCCGGTTGTAGGAAGCATGTGCTTGCAAGCTAGAGTAGTGCCTGTGTAGCCGACAGAATCCAGGGATGGAGGCTCTGGATTCTAGAAAGCTTCTCTGCGTAGACCTGAGACACATCAAGGAGGTCTTTTCATGCAGGAGTAGCTACCACTTCTCCTGATTCCTGATGTTCTGACCATGAGCTTTGGAAATCTGAAATCTTGAACCACCTTCAATTCTCGAATTTAAGCTGGGTGCTCTTTCTTACATCTAGGGCTAACTAACACTTCCCTTCAAGGGCTAGGTGTGTAGATTGCTTTTCTGCCTTGTGCAATGACAGCTTTTCTTGAGAGAGGGGGGCACCTTCTGCTAATTCACAGGAAATCGGCATGAGCACCTGTGCCAAGCTTGCTTCATGATAGGGGTTTTACCTACGTTACATTACCTTCTCCTCATTGCTGATCTCTCTTTCAACCAACAAAATATGTGGACAAAAAGAAGACCAGAAAGAAGAATCTATAGATTAAATGAATAAGATATACTGACAAATGATAGTACATGAAACTCATTACAGTGCCTAGATAGTTGACGCTGTTAATTGTTCATTTTGTTTTAGGTAGCTTAAGGGTATCATGCCAGGCCCTCCTACTTAGCTTCTCTGGTCCTATGGTCAAAGCATTTCTTCTGAAAGGAAGAAAGGGTTTATTTCAGCTTACAGATTACAGTCTGTTGTGGAGGGAAGCCAGGGCAGGAGCTTAAGGCAGGAACTAAAGCAGAGATTATGTAGAAATGTTTCTTACTAGTCTTCTCTTCCTAGCTAGATCAGCTACTTTTTTCTTATACAGCCCAGGCCCACCTGCCCAGGGATGCCACTACCCACAGTGTGGATCTCGTTACACCAGTTAGCAATCAAGAAAACACCCTCAAAGACATTCCCACAGGACAATTCGATGGAAGCAGCTCCTCAACAGAGACTCCCTAGTCTCACATATGTCTAGGTTTATGTCAAGTTGACAAGGACCGACAGCAGCCAGGTCTAATACATGTCTCTTCATATGCATGGCTTTATGGAGCCCCTCTGAGGATGAATCAGGGCTGGCCTGCAGGACCAACAAAATTTGGCAGAAGTACGATGCGTGTCTTTAAAAGGTGGTACAACTTCCAACCCAGTCTTTTGCTCTGCTACTTTGGGGACGCGGGCCATCATTTTATGGGGATGCAAGCAGGCAACAGAGGGGATCACATGAAAAGGAAACAAATTTCCAACATCATGTTGTCACTCACGCCAGAGTTGCCTTGGTAGTGGCCGTGATCAAACTTTCAGATGTCTTACCCAGCAACCTCATGAGAGACCATGAACATGAACTATCCAAAAATCACGCTCCTGAATTTCTGACCCATACAGACCAGGAGGAGATAATAAAGGCTTACAGTCTTATGTTACCCAGAAAATAAAAATACTGATTTTTTTTTAAATTGCAGTACTTATCTCTGTCAATATTGGCTACAAAACAACCAGTATTGTCCAGAGATGGCACACATTGTAATTCCACCACCTCAGAGATGGAAGCAGGAGGATCAGGGTCATCCTTTGCTAAATCTCAAGTCCAAGGCAAGCCTGAAATATATGAGATTCTGTCTCACATTTTAAAAAGCAAATAAATTAAGGAAATAAGAGGACAGGGGTACAAAGAAGCCTGCAGTGTTAGCTGGAGCCATTAATTCTATTCTTCCCTCTGAAGGATATAATTAATCTTTAGATTCAGGAAAGGGTAAAGTGCATAGGTTACTGAGAATATACCAAGTAATACTTTTTTTTTTTTTTTTTTTTAGTTTTTCAAGGCAGGGTTTCTCTGTATAGCCTTGGCTATCCTGGACTCACTTTGTAGACCAGGCTGGCCTCAGACCCACAGACTGACCTGCCTCTGCCTCCTTGAGTGTTGCAAGAAATACTTTTTAGAACATCTTTTATAAACTTTTATAGAACAAATAGTTTGAATTCCAAAATTCAAAGATAATCAGGGCAGGGTTAAGTGGATATGATCATAAGTGAAACAAGAAAGATGATAAATCAGTAAGTACCGGAACAGGATTATCATAGTCACTCTGTTTTATGGCTTTTAATTTTGACAAAATAGAAAGCAACAAAATAAGGGGCCGGCAGGATGGCTCAGCCAATACAGGTGCTTGCCACACAGGCCTGACGACCTGAGTTTGATTCCAGAATGCACACGGTGAATCCAGAGAACCACCTCCACAAAACTGTCCTCTGGCCTGCATATGTGTGCTCTCACACATGCGCTTCCACACATATACACATACACAAATTAAATTTTTGTTCAGGAAGAAAGGGCCTCTGGCACGAGTGTTATTAGCCACACATCCAAGTGAGAAGAGCAGACAGTGGTTTAAGTAAGTGGGTCCAAGGTCACAGAGTTAGTAGAACCAGTGTGATCTGATGTGATATCTAGTGGGGTTGGAAAATAGCAGCAATGAAAACCTCTTTCCATTGCATTATCTCTCTCTCTCTCTCTCTCTCTCACACACACACACACACACACATACACAAACAGGCACACACATTGCCCTCATGCTGCACATACTTCAGAACTGTAGAGCACTTTCGAGTTTACAAAGAGAATTACATGACGCTGGCATCTGAGTAAGCCAGGCTCCTTACTCCTGTCCTACCCAGCTTATGGTGGTTAGGGGCAGGAATTTTTTTTTTTTTTCTAGAAAATGTGCCTGGAAAGTATGCATATGTACAAGGATATCAACACGGGATTCTCATTCACAATCTGCCCAGAGAGCTCTATCAATCTACAACACAGAGTACACCAGCCAGCAGGCAGTGGGGTTTTTAGGGAGTCACACTGTTATCTCTAGCAACAATCTCTAGAAGCCAAACAATTGTTTGATTGACTCTGGGCCAAGCATTGTAAAAATCACCCACCCTTAATCCAGACAACCACTGCCAACATCAATTAACCAACTGCCAAACTACCTCTGGCAACAGACTTACCACTTCAGCCAATCAAATACATTCTCTCTGTAAAAGCATCCTCTCCACCTGCCTGTCCCCAGTAGAACGGAGCCACCTGCAGTCTGCGGATGCTCCATTTGTGAAATCCTCCAATAGCCAAGACAAACTCACTAACATTTCAGCGTGCTTTACCTGTTTACTCTTCTGTGAGAGGGACTGGTGCTCTGACAGAGTCTGGTCTCTCGCTCTGCCTCAGCCCACCAAGTACCTCTGATTGCAGATGTGTGCCACCACACCTACGTTTCTCTTAAACACCACTGTGAAGTTTCCCTGATCTTCCACTTGACTGACTCTGGGCCAAGTGTTAGGTGTGGGAGCTCACACCTGTAATCTCAGTACAGAGGAGACTGAGGCAGGAGGACCACCATGAGTTCTAATGCTAGCTTAGGCTGCTTAGTGAACTCCAGTCCAGTCTGAGAGGCAGACTGAAACACTCCCTCCCCTCTCTTACACACACACACAATATGATGAAAATGAAGGAGGAGAAACAGCCTTTCGCTGAATCTTGGTAGGCTGGTCCTAATTTTCACTTAACTTATTTACTTTGTTAAAGCAAAGAAATGAATCTGTGTGCTCAGCATCTGCATTTGCTCAGTGTCTTTATATGGAGGAATAGGAAGGTGTCCCTGGATTTTCTAGGCATCTCTGGACCTTTCCACTTTAAAGAAAAGCCCAAGTTAGCTTTCCTTTTGGGCTCAAAGTGTGTTGGCCAGTGGCAGGCCTCATGGGAAAAGCCTCCCTGACTCACTAATCTCTCAGCCTGAAACTAGGGTTGATCTACTCACTTGTGTTTAAAGATTTTTGGTTCACCTTTTTTGACTTCATGCTAAAAGAGCACTTTTTTTTTTTTTTTTTTTTTTTTTTAACATTCTAGGCTTCAGCTTTTTCTGGGCCCCTGGTTTTAGCTTCTTCCAACCTGACATAGCTCTTTATTGTAGGAGATTCTCACTTGGAAAGAATGAAAGAATGAAACCATCCAGTTCCCAGCAAGCTACCAGCAACAGTCAGAGGGGCAAGGAAAAAAGTAAAAGTACCACCATCTAATGATGCCTACAGGCCCAGCCCGGATTGCTCTTCTGACTGGAAAGAAGTCTTCCCTTTAAATCGTCTCTAAATAGGGGAAACCAAGTGTTGCTGTGACAATAGGGTTAGTACCTATAACTTAACCGGCACAGTGCAAAGAGTACAAGAAAACCGAGACTACGTCACTTCCTCCTCTCTGCCCAGCCAACTGGGCAGAGGTTGTGATGCCCCAGAGCAAACCCAGGGCCTCTTCCTGGAGGTGCACTTGATCTAAATCAGTAAGGGGAAGGCTTGAGTTCTTGATTCTTCTGGGGTGACAGGATGAGAAATAAGGAGCCTCTGCTGAAATGCTGACCAGAGGAATCAGGCAACTGGCCTCTGGCCTAGGTTGAGGCTTCAGATAAACGTCAGGACTAGCTAATTCCACCTTCAGATTCCAGATTTCTCTTCGATTGCTCGGAAGCATTGCCTTGAGGTTCTCGTCAAATCAGTCCTTTGTGTCAGGAGTGGGGCTCCGGGGGTAGCTTCAGGCTTAGACAGGAAAAGGCAAGGGTGGGCGCTGTGAGTATCTGCAGCTGCGGGGCCCCAGCGACGTGACTGACGCTGTGCACTGCGCGGTGTCTATCCTGGTTAACTGGAGGACGGGAGTTACAAGTACATTGTGACCATCAATCTTCTTTCCTTTGTCTCCTGTGCCCCTCCGCTCCTGCCGAGCTCTCACTTCATAGCCCTGGCTGGCCCAGTACTTGCTACATAGACAGGGAAGGCCTTCGGCTCCCAGAGTCCTTGCACCCATAGTGTTGGGATTAAAGGTGTGTCCACCACACTTGGCCGGTGTTCAACCTCTGTTTTCCCAGACTGCAGAAACAATGTGATCAGCTGCCTCACGCTCACACCATCATGCCTTACATGCCATGACAGATTGAACCCTCACACTGAGATAAAAAGAATTGTAGTACCCACTTCACAGAATTTCAGAGCCAAAGGGCACTTAAAATCTCAGGGCCTAGAAAAGGTGTGGCAGGGCTAGGGAGAGAGTTTAATCCATAGCAAACCACACACACACACAAAGCAGACACGATGGTCTATGCTCATAATCCTATCCCTCGGGAGACTTGAGACAGGCAGATACCTGGGCCTTGCTGGCCTAGATGAATTGGGAGCCCAAGAGCAGTAAGAGAATCTGTTTCAAAAAACAAAGTGGATGGTACCTAAGGAGAAGGGATATCTGAGTTTGTCCTCTAGCCTCTGAATTCGAAATTCATGTGCAACGCACACACACACACACACACACACACTTTCTCACACAGGAACATGTGCACACACAAACCCAGGAAGTGATCATAGCTTTTGCCTTATCCCCAGTAGCACAACTGTAACAGGTACTTAAAGATTGCTTTTACTAAAGAGCACTGACTCTTCAGCTGGGTTCACAAAGTAACTAGGAGCCCAGTGAAAGCCTGCCGTCCCTACTTTTTTTTTTTTTTTTTTTGTCTGTATCCTTTGGGCAACCTGATTTGCCTGCATGTGGGCATGTTAATTACCCAAAGAGAATGTGGCGGTTTGGATTAGAATGGTCCCCCACAGGCTTGGGCCTTTAAATTTAACTGCTTAGTCCTTGGTGGCACTTTGGAGAGATTGTGGAGAGATTCGGAAAGAAGGGCAACACTGAGGATAGATGTTGGGAGCTTAAAACCTCATTGCCGCTTCCAAATCTCTCTCTGCCTTCTGCTCAAGGCTGACATGTGATCAGCTTCCAGCTTCTGCTGCCATGCCTGCCTCTTGAGGCCATGCCCACTCCACACCCTCATGACCTCTGATACCTCTGGAACCAGAAGCCCAAATAAACTCTTTCTTCTACAAGTTGTTTTGGTTATGCTATTTTGTTACAGCAACAGAAAAGTAACAAATAAAGAGTGTCTGTATAAAATCTTGTGATACCTAACCTATTTCATTCTTCTATTCAGGCTGGAGCCACAAAGCTAAGAGTTAAAATCTTAGTGTCAGCTTTCTTAAATGTCCTGTTCCCGATTTACAAAGCACACCTAAAGATCTCGTGTTGTAGCTGGCCTTTAATCCCAGCACTTGGAAGGCAGAGGCAGGCAAATCTCTGTAAGTTGGAGGCCAGCCTGTTCTACAGAGCAAGTTCCAGGACAGCCAGGGCTACACAGAGAATCCCTGTCTCAAATAAACAATATCTCCAGTTGTCCCAAACCTTCGGTTGCCTTGTATGACAGACCACCCACCAGAGAGGACAGTCATGTGCAATGGTGAGGCTGAAGCTTGGAACGGGAGTGATCATGTTCCAGGAAGAAAGCAGGATGAATGCCAAGAGCAGTCAACTGTGTCTCCAGCCCCCAGGGATCCCCGCAAAGAGCTAAGCGACAGTTGGTCATCATCTTTTATTTGCTCAAATACACCCACAGGTGAATTTAGCAGCTTAAGCCCTTCTTTAAATTCAGCTCACTCCTGTTTCCAATATCTTAGAAATCTTTCAAAGCAGGTTCTGTACATTCAGCCCAGATAAAGACTTTCCTTGGCAAGACGAGACCCCCCCCCCCTCAAGATTTCATCACCTCTTGCGTCTGGGAAGGAAAAACACAGTCCCTGATAATCAGTAATTCATTGCAGTCATGTCAGGCTTCCACAGAATTGAATTCAAGAAGCTCAAGGAAATAACTGAGGCAGAAGAGGGAGGGAGGAGTGGAGCTGTATGGCAACCAGCCAGACGATCCTGCTGCAGTGGAGGGAAGCAAGGATGTCTGAAGAGGCCCATAGTGTTCACTGATGCTAACCATGAAGGCTGATGAGCTGGCTCTTTGTCATGGCAACTACTCAGTAGTCTGTTCAATATTTGAGTCCAAGGAATCTGAGATCTGACAGACTCTACAAGCTCTGAGGATCAGAGAGTAGGTTTCCTTGAACTTCTTTATTTTGCAGGCATAGACAATAGGGTTCATCATGGAGTTTGCATGGGACAACAGGATGCCCAGGCACATGGCAACCTCTGGTATCTCAACTTTAAAGTAGGAAACAAAGTTGATGATGGACAAAGGCAACCAGCACGAAGCAAACAAGAAGAGAACCAGGAACAGGGACTTGGCAGTCTTGAACTCCCGCCCATAAAACGCACGTGTCTCTCTGAAGCCAGACAGGTTTTGACTGAGTTTGTTGCGGATGATGTAGAAGATGTCCAGGTAGATGACGCACATGATGACGAGGGGGATGAGGATCCAGGTGATGAAACTGAAGAAGACCATGTAATCCAGGCATACAACCGAACGGAAATGGCACAAAAGGGTGGTAGCATTCTGAGGGAGCCCTGAGGTCACTTTTTTATTCCAGCCAAACATAGGGGTCAGTCCCACCAAGAAGGATACCAGCCAACAAAGGCCCAGGGATAGCCATATTCTTCTTTGAGTGGTGACCGTCTTATATCTGTTCGAATGGGGAGGGGAAATGGTGAGTTCACAACAGGAAATGACAAGTTGGAAGAGAGTGAGAAAGAGAAAGTAAGTTCTTCCAGTTCCCTAATCTGCTGAGAGATGAAACAGCCATGGTGTAAGGTGACTGTGACTGAAATTCTACTAGATATGAAGACAAAATGAGAAAGCAATGATTAGAGGAAAATCCAGAAACTCCTTTGGAACATCTTTTTAAAACAACAATCTAAAACGACCAGCAGTATATTTCCCAGAAGCGGGTACCTACATGCTTCCACTCAACCTGACTCCAAGAATTGTTTTTTTAGAATCACTTAATTTTATGTATATGAATGCTTTGTTTGCATGTATGTCTATATAGCATGGGTAGGCCTGGGGCCCAGGGAAGTCAGAAGAAAATGTTGAATCTCCTGGAATTAGAGTTATGGACAGTGCTGGGTGCTGGAAATGGAACCCAAGTCCTCTGCAAAAATAACAAGCACTTTTGTTTACTGAGCTATCTTTCCAGCCCTTCCCTGTCCTTTGATATAAGTTACCTAAACCTTGGGAGCCCCAAGCTGATGAGAACCTCCTCAAAGCTTGCTGGTGTGCTGTGCTCTGCATTGTTTCAGTTGGCTGTTGTACAGGAGCTCATAGGCTACACTACAACCCAAACACTTCTCTCTACCTGTACCTGCTTTCTTTTCCCATGGGCACCTATTCTTGTGTTTGAGTTAACCAGTTAAAGTTTTGTTAAGATTCTGTTGTGTTTCAGAGCGTTTAGGAATTTCATCTTGGGGATTTACCATTTCTCCTTAATTCTTAAATAGCCTGAAACATACTACAAGAGAAAGAAACAAGAAACAAGACTTAAAACAAGACTTAACTAAACCTCATAACTAATAGTTATGACAGTCTCTGTTTTATTGATGGCAGTGGCATAGCTACCATTTACTGAATACAGACTCTGTAGCAGGATTTTTCCGAGAACTTTACCATCATTTTCATTTTATAGGTCTTAAACGTGTAGAGCAGCATGGGGTAATGGCGGTAGGATTGCAGCTGAATGGAGGTTAGCCTGGCTTAGATGTGCAACCACTCAGAGAGGTGGAGACTGAAGCAACGAAAGCCAAATAACCTGCCTAAAGTCAGATCACGAGATCAGGGAAATGAACGCAGACGAGTTTTCATCTACAGCTTGTTTGTAAGGTCCTCACCACGCTCTTTCTCCAAGAGAAACCGGAAGAAACCGGGAATGTGATTTCTCCTTAGGCTGTCTGCTCCCTTGGCATGGTAACAGGAAAGGGTGCTACAGTTTTCACACAAAAACTTGTCTCAGGAGGGTTTTCCCTTTCTTTTCTTTCTTTCCTTTCTTTCTTTTTAAAGAGGAAAAAGAAAATATCCATCCTAAGAATCCCTTTTCAACATCAGGACAGACTCAGACAGAAGCGACGCGACATAAGATCTAACCTACATCTGCAGAGCCCATCTGCTTATCTCTTCTTCTGCTTATCTTCTGCTTCCCCTAAAACAAGATATCCTATCTACTAGGTCTCTGCCATTTTGAAGACTTGAGATCAGATTAAAAAAAAAAAAAAAAAAAAAAGATACACCACATTTTCATCTCTTTGGCTACCCTGGACAGAAAGCAGACCCCCTCCCCCATGGTCATTGGAGAAGGGCTCATAGTGCCCCTGGTCTCCTATTCATGAGTCTTGGCTCTTCAGACCTAATCTTCACGAATCATATGATACAAAGATATTCACCGCCCCTTTTAAACTTCAAGCACCAGTTTTGGCTCATTTTCATTGAAACTGTCTGGAAGCCGAACTTGGTAGCTCTACTTCCAAGCCACCTCTTTAAAACTATCAGCCCACCCCCTTCTTCAAGCCAGTTACCTGACCGTCAGCTTGACCCTCAGGTATCGGTCTACGGCGATGGCCAGCAAGGACATGATGGAGGCGTGGGTGAAGATCAGAAGCACACACGACATGAAGAGGCAGGTGTAGAAGTGCATCTTCACTTCTAGGCTGACAGCGATGGCCAAAGGGATGACCAGCACCCCGACAGCAATGTCGGCCAGGGCTAAGGAGACGATGAAATAGAAGGTGGTGGTCCTCAGACTGGGGTTCAGTTTGACCACCCAGATGACCAGCATGTTGCCTACTACGGCACAGAGCCCGATGACAGCCTCCATGGTTATATAGGTGATGTTCAACCACAACGCGGTCGTGCTATTGTCAGGTTTCATGCTGTCTTGGTGAAGCTTCAGGCGGAAGCTTCTGGTAGTTTTTCAGCGCGATGCCTATGGGCCAGTGGGCCTAGCTTTCGCCAGACATCTGGCCAGATGTCCAAATGCAGCAAGAGCCGAGAAGTCACAATTTGCTCATTCCTTCCGGTGGGGCTGCTCTCTTAGAGATTCTTTTCAGAGAGGGCCCATTATGGGACCATCAACTTCAACCACCCTGTAGCCTGGAGGACACAGTTCTATGGAGCTGAGAGTAGAGTACGGCTGTCCCTACTTCCCCAGATGGACACAGTCAAGGCTTCTGCCTTCCCCTGCACCCAAGAGAGCTTTTAAAGCTCCATCAAGATAAGCACCCCTCTTTCAAGTGTTTCAAGAAGTGAGATAGTTCAAGAGGAAGTACAGGGCCAGGAACCGTCAGGAGAAAAAAAAAAGATGGAAAGAGCACAGGGGTTGGCATGAGTCACGTGGAGGTGGCTCAAAGAGATTAGAGACACAGCCTAGACATGGAAGGCTAAGGCAGGGAGATTACAGGTTCAAGGCCTGCAGAGTGAGTTTAAGGCCAGCCTAAATAACTTAACAGATATGCCTTGAGTTTAAGGCCAGCCTAAATAACTTAACAGATATTGTCTTAAACAAAAAGAAAAAGAAAAAGAAAAAGAAAAAAAAAATCTCAAGTCGGGGCATGGGGAGCCAGAGATATATCTCAGTAGTAGGACGATTGCCTGGGCATCAAACCCTGGGTACCACCCCCACCACATCAGATACACATCACACACAGACACACACACACGTGCGGTAGGGGATGGAAACAGAAATCATTCAGGGATGAACTGTGGGTAGGACTGTGTAGAAGAGATGGAAACACTATGTAATAGTTCCACCCTTTTCCTACTTAGCTCGAAGATCTTGTGATAGAGAAAAAGGTGGCATACGTCTTTAATCCCATCAATGGGGAGACAGAAACAGGCAGATCTCTGTGAGACAATCCAGGTCTACCTAAAGAATTCAAGCCACAGGGCAGCTCAGTCTCCCAGTGGGTTCCCTAGTAAGAGGAATGGGGGCTGTCTCTAACATGAACTCAGTGGCTAGCTCTTTGATCACCTCCCCCTGAGGTGGGAGGGCAGGTCACCAGGCCACAGAGGAAGATGATGCAGCCAGTCCTGATGAGACCTGATAGGCTGGGGTCAGATGGAAGGGTAGGAGAACCTCCCCTATCAGTGGATTTGGGGAGGGCCATGGGAGGAGAAGAGGGATGGAGGATGATATTGGGAAGGGTTGAAGGAGGGGGCTACAGCTGGGATACAAAGTGAATAAATTGTAATAAATTAAAATAATTAAATAAATAAATCACACACACACAAAAAATTCCTCCCAAAACCAAAAAAAACCTCAGGCCAGTCAAGGATGGGCTCAAAACAATTTTTATTTTGTATACATTCATGCACACACAGAGACATATATATATATGTGTGTGTGTATATGTGTCCAGTTGTGTATATTTGTATATATGTGTCCACGTGTGTGCAAGTACCCATGGAGGCCAGGAAAGAGCCATCAGGTGAGCCTCTGCAGGAGCAGCAAGCACACTTAATCACTGAGCCATCTCTCTAGCTCCAACGTGTAAGTGAGGGTTTTTTTTTTTCTCCCTTTGAACGTTTCATCAGCCTCCTGAATGGCCCCTCATCTTACTTCTGCTATAACTGCCTTCTTTATCTCTTCTTCAAAGGAGGAAGTTACAGAGAGTAGTTTTTACCAAGCAGGAAAAAAAAAAAGTCTTTCTTACCAATAAGCAATCTGAATCTAGCTTGGTTAGTTACCGTAAAAATCTCCACCATTTGCCACACAGCCCCACCAAGCAACCTGCAACCTCATGTGGGAGAAATGCCTTCCTGGTCATGGGTTGATCCACGCACCCTGGACATTATGGCAATTTTACAGCTAAGGGACATCTTTCTAGAGAAGTTCAGCATCCCTACTCATGGCTGGTGGCCCTTCTTTAGGAGTGAGTGTAGATAGAGTGGAGCCGCTGGCTAGGTAGGATATCAGGCTTTCTTCTAAGGCTTATTGGTCGGGAAACAGGCAGCTCCTACATCAGCAACAACAGAAACAAGATGGCAGTCCCCATTTTGTTATCTAAAAAAAAGCTGAGTGGTCAGACTGGGAAAGATGGCTCAACCATTAAGAATGCTGGATGCTCTTCCAGTGGACCCAGGTCCAATTCCCAGGACCCAGGTTCAACTCCCAGCACCGGCTCCCAGATGGCGGCTCACAACAGTCTGTAACTGCAGTTTCAGGGGCTTAGACACCCTCTTCTGTCCTCCAAAGACACTGCATGCGTACGGTGAGCAGACATACACAAAGGCAAAACATCCCTGTACCTACAATAAAAATCATATTTTCTTAAGCTGAAAGGAAGTGGGGAAGGCAGCAAGAGCCAGGAACACGGGTCTAGCCCACTGCAAGTAAAAGGACATAGTTAAAGATACACCTGGCGGGGGATCTGAAGACCTGGCCATCTGTGCCCCCTGATTCTCCCTGATACTGTTCTCTCATGGAAACTGGGGTCTTTCATAAACCAATTCGTTTCCACTGGGTTGGGGAAGTCAAAGGGAAGATCTGAGCCTAAGATCACACAGTCTGTGAGAGAGCAAGCCACTGAGTGAGGAGGAACAGAGGACATACCCACCAACACAGCCACCCCGTCCCACCTGGATTTTGTCTTCTGTAAAAGAGGCTGATGGCAGGAGCCTTAGAGGCCGAAACCCCGCTAGCCTGGGACTTGTAAGCGAACATTTTTATAAGGAGCCAGAACTTGATCACAGGGGATGTTAGAGAATGGACTCATGATAGAGCCCAAACCCACAACACCCAATAACTCATAGCTCGGCCATCCCCTTTCACTTCCTCTCTTTGGTCACTTGCACACTCTCTCGTGGTCTAGATGGGGGGGTCTCTCCCTTGGCCCACCTAGAAGAATAAAAACTCTCCCCTCAAGACAGTTCTCCATTAGGAACTTGAAGACAAACCCCTGCACCACCTCTCCTTCGTGTGGTTCGCTTTGCTGTCTTCACAGCCCCCCACCCCCACCCCGTGAGGCTGTAGTTGCTGAGACTAGACAGGAAGTTTTCAGTTTTGCACTGCAACACCTGGCAGACGGCGGGACACATTCGCTAGACGGCTGACTGTACAGCCGCAGGCGGCAGAAACCTGGCACTGGCTACACAATGACAGAAACCCTCCGCTAGGAACCTGTTACTCTCCAGGACACCAGACACTGGGGGTGGGGGGGGGGAATATTTTGTTATTCATGCTCTCATGTAGTGTCTTCTGAAGAAGAAGACACTACTTCTTAATGATATGCAGACCAAGCCTCAGAAAGGTTGAAGAAGTTGGCCTAGACAGCACGGGTGGGAAGTGGCAGGCTGACGTTCACACCCATAGGGTTGGGTTCAGAACCCTCAGAAGGAGAATAAGAAAATGATCAGCCACAACGTGTAATGAAGCTGCCGCTGGTACAAGGAGCCCCTGGGTTTGATGTCACTGTGTGGTCAATATTAGGAAGACACTGATATTACTAAGTGTCAATGTCTATGCCACCAAGACTGAGAATAAAGCACACATATAAAGCGGATTAAGTGCCTGCTCTGCAATATGAACAGACGTGGTAGGATTAGAGAAAGGTCCATACAAGCAGGCCATTAGTGACTCTCTGGGTCTCACAGAAGGCCATTTACAGGACCAGAGTGAAAAAAAAACTATTTTAAAAAAGTTTTTAATAGCGAATTGAGGAGAAAACGAACCATAGCTCAAATTGCCTGTTATTTTTTCCCCATTTCCCATCTGAAAGGAGGGATGTCATGATTTTCTGTTCTGCCGGGACAGCTTGATCTCTACAAAGGAGACAAGGGTGTGCTATGAGGAGTCAGCGGTCTGACAAAGGTGGCCCGAGTCCAGAAAGAGGGCAACAGCTGCCTGACACCCTGAAAAGGCTGACCAGAGAGAGAGAGAAGACTCGTTGGCTCTTTTGTAGCCTCTCAGAAAAGCCTAGAAACCCTCAGCTGCCAGTCCTCAACAGCAAGGTACATTTGTGGAGATCAGGGCTAGGGGCTCCAGAACCCAGAACTGGCCCAAGCCTCAACCAAGACAGGATGTCGAGGCAGCCGGAAGCTGGAGACTGCTGCTCAGAGTTCTGACTCGATGCTGGGGGCATACTTGTATAAAATTAGATCTACTCACTTCCTCTTGACACATTACCACTTCCCCCAAAGCCTTACGCTTTTACAGACCTTTCTATATGCCAGCAAACAGCAGGTTCTAACGAGGCACCAGTGCTCAATCATCCTCCAAGGTGCCTTCTCCCTGCCCCCCCCCCAACATGCTCCCTCCCTATGGAAGAGCCTAAGGCCTTCAGGAGGCTTCCCATCCCCACTGAGCTAGGTTCTCAGGCTATTCTTAGGGCTAGGCAGAGGCCCCTTCAAGTTACAGGGCCCAGGAGCCTGAACATGCAAAGCTCCCTCAGTGTCAGTGAGAGCGAGAGGGATGGATGAAGCTAGAAATCCAAATCAAGGTTCCTGTAAGTCAAGAAATCCTGCTTGGGCAAAGGCAACTGCTCCTGCCTAGGTGTCCACACCTTAGCTACCACATGCCTACCCACCCAATGTGAGTCAGGCCTCCATGCCCAAGAGAGTCTGAAGCCGTAGATCTCAACCTATGGGTCCCGACCCCATCGGGGTCCAACGACCCTCTCATAGGAGTCACCTAAGACCTTCAGAAAACACCAAATACTTACATCATGATTTATAACAGTAGTAAAATTGAGGTTACAAAGTAACGAAAATAATTTTATGAGTTGGGCAGTAGAGATGCACACCGTTATTCCTAGGACTTGGGAGGCGGAGGGAGGTGGGTCTCAGTGAGTATGGGGCCACCCTGGTCTACAAAGACAGTTCCAGAGCTGCTAGCGGTGTTACCCAGAGAAACCATGTTTCAAAACAAACAACAAA